AATACCTCATGAAGCCATGTGTACAGTCTTATTTTATGTTGTTTAAAAATGGTATTTGCAGTCATTAGTCTTGAAAAATTCTGTCATGCTACCTCCAGCATCATTTCTATCACTAAGGCCATATTTTTCAACTACTAATCCTTCCTCTTTGTTTCCAACCTTTGCATTCTAATAGCTCATACAGGGTGTCTATGAGTTGGAATCAACTAGACGATACTTAAAAACAACAACAATGATAATGCCTGGTACATGGCAGATGGTTAATACATATTTGCCAAATGAAAGAGTGACTTGGATTGATAAACAATGGAAAGTATAATCCTTGTCAATATTGACAAATTCCTACAGTCAAATCATTTTACTTTTCTATTGTAAGAATCAGAAAAAACAAAACTCTGGTAGCATAGTGGTTACAAATCAGGCTGTTAACCTCAGGGTCAGCAGTTCAAAACTACCAGCTGTTCCACGGGAGAAAGAGGAGGTTTTCTACTCCCATAAAGATTTACAGCCTTGGAAACCCTGTACAGCGTCTCTATGAGTCGGAACCGACTCCACTGCACGTAACAACAACAACATATTTAATGTTTTATTTATTTAAGGTGAATAAAAAAGCAAATTAAAACCTTACAAACCGATTTGTCTTTAGTATTCATGCACATAATTTTTTTGTATATGACAATTATTCTTTTTTAAAAACAAATGATTATTATTTTGGGGATATTTTTTAAATTAACCATTTAAGGTAGGTCTTTGTTTTTGTTTGTGTATTTCCCCCTTTACATTGAATAAAAAGCAAACCTGGGTTTAGGCTGTTGCATTCTATGAGCCTGACTTACCAGCTTCACATCCTTTAAAGTCGATGGATAGTTTGTCTTGGGAAAATTATTCAGATATTTGCCAAACTCTCTTCTCAGAGACCTTTTGTAGAGCTATTGTATGATAATTAAAATGCATTTTAGCTTTAATTTAAATAGTTATCATTTACTGAAGGATTTGTATGTGCCAACCATTATATCAGGGACTTCCTTTATGTTATTTTAGTTAATCTTCTAATATTGAAAACAGCTTTTTAAAATTTTTGTGGGAATAAAAACGGCATATGACCTGTCAAAGTATTACATCAGTAATAAAAATATAAAGTAAAAACTATCTAAAAATTGTTTGCTTTTAAAAACAACTTTGTGAGATCAAGATTCTTGATTCTTAGCCCCATTTTACAAACGAGGAAATAGGCTAGAGACAGAGCTGAGATCATCAAGCTGCAAGAGGCAGTATTGGTATCAGAACACACATTAGCCAGATGCCAAGACCCACCCTTAGCCGCTACCTGGTACCGCTGTTTATGACTTCGTTGCACTTACTTGGCAGAGGTATGGGCTTTTGATGGATTTGTCTGAAAGAAATGATTTCATATCAATTAAAGGATGGAGCACCACATGAACAAGTTTTTCTTGTTTATACTGTTTGTTTACTCTTCCCACACAAAGATGTTCTGCTATCATAAAGGCGTCAAGATGAATGGCCAATAAAACATCTCCAAAGATAGGAGCAGCGCCAAAACCTTTGAGATAAACAACATTCTTCTCCTTCATTTTTAATAAGGAGGGGCCTTTAGTAAGGGGTTCGATTTTAGTTAAGTTCAAAAATTTGGGGATACCTGAATATTAAGTCTTGCAAATCTAAGCAGCTGTTTTTGTGTTGTTGTTTTTTTTTTTTAAGTTGTTGTTAATTTAGCACCTTTTCTATTTAATTGTGAAACAGTGAACAGCAGATCTTTACAGCACTTAGAAGCCACGCCTTTTGTGGAAGAGCAATGCAGGTGTCTATGGTAACTTAACTGAAAAGAAAGAGTTCTTACTTTGGGGCAGGAGGCAACGCTGGCAGATGTGCAGCTTCTTGTCTGTGACTAGACCCTCGGTGGCGCTCAGCAGGTATGGGTTTTTCTGGATTAGGAAAATTCTGATATTAGGATTAGAGTGAAATGTCTGCCCAGCCTCCAGATCCAGCAATCCCCAAACCAAACTCATTGCCATCAAGTAGATTCTGACTCATAGTGACCCTGTATGGAGTTTCTGAGGCTGTAAATCATATGGGAGCAGAAAGCCTCATCTTTCTCATGAGGAGCAGCTGATGGGTTTGAACGACTGACCTTGCAGTTAGCAGTCCAGTGCTTATCTGGGTGCCACCAAAGCTCCTGAACCTAGTAATATCAGAACCAAATTTGGTCTGATGCCACTGATTTGTTCACCTGTCAGTCTGGTGGTATTTGAGAGGGACCAAGACTCCCACTCGGCACACACTACCACACCTGTGTCCACCCTCTCCCTGGCAATCAGTGTACCTAGGGACAGAACCTGTAGGGACTAGACCTGTGTTTGGGGACTGGTGGGAGAAGGTGTTAGTTCTCACCTTTGACTTTCTACAGTCTCCATATACACACAAAGGTTATAAACCCTGGTGTGTTTTGATGAGTTGTAAGATGTGTAAGTGACTTGTTACTAATAAGAAGTAAAATAATAGCTTGTGGATAGTCTACTTTGGAAAGATCAGTTGATCTCACTTGCATTTCACTATGTTTTCCTGGATGAAAAGGAAGAGCTAGGGTTATAACCAGTAGACAGGAAAACAAACAACCTAAAAGCACAGGAAATCTATGTCAAATTCCACAGTCAATTGTTATTGCTGTTGTAGTTATGGGCCATCGAGTTGGTTCCGACTCATAGCAACCCTGTATAGGGTTTCTGAGGCTTTTAAAATCTTGGCAAGAGCAGAAAGCCTCATCTTTTTCCAGCTGAGCAGCTGGTGGACTTGAGTCATGGACCTTGTGGCTTTCAGTCCAGTGCTTATCATATGGAGCCACCGCACTCCCTAGAGTGTTGCTATTAAGCCATTGATATTGTCTGATTAAAATCGGGTACTGGATGTGTCTCCTGCATGGTGTAAGGGTTGGGAACTATAGACTTTGACACTGAGGCAATTCCGACTCACAGTGCACCTTTAGGACAGAGTAGAACTGCCCTACGGGGTTTCCCGGGCTGCCGGCACTTACCAACAGCAACAGCAATCTGTATGGAAACAGACTGCCATAGCTTTCTCCCTTAGATTGGCTGGTGGGTTCGAGCCTCCAACCTTTTAGTTAGAAGTCAAGCGCTTAACCATTGTGCCACAAGGGCTCCTTATTGCCAACGATATGGACCCCAAAGGAGTAAAAGTAATAAGAGCTCAACAATTTAAATAAAAGGTAAGACACACTTCAGAGTTGGTATGGTGCACAGCAGTTAGGATCATATTTCAAGTTTGTGACAAGCTACTCGGTTAAAGGTTTGGCTCATGACGTCACAAATCAGTAACTTCAAAAAGGGAAACAGTGGACACTGTAGGTACTAGAGGACTCCTGGTGTGGCACTGTACAATCAGCACTGGACTGCGAATCACAAGGTCCGCAGTTCAAATTACCAGTTGTTCCTCAGAAACCCTGTACAGGGTCGCTATGGGTCGGAACCGACTCAACGGCACTTAACAACTTAACAACATGGTAGGGAGAGGAGTAGAAATTCTCTGAAACTGGATTGTGGTAATGCTTACATAATTCTGCAAATTTACTAGAAATTGTTGAATTGTACACATCAAGTGAGTGAATTTTAGGATATTTAAATTATAACTCAATAAGGGATCCCAGTAAATATGATTATTATTGTTATTACTCCATCATCTGTCACCACAGTATCTGTAAATTCTGGGCACCGTGCCAGGTACTGAAAAATACTAGCTCTAAGCCTCAAGTGTCACCAAGCAGAGGATGTTGAGGCTCAGAGAGGTTAAGGAACTTGCCTCAAGCAATGCAACTAGGAAGTGGCAGGACAAACTATTTGAGCTTAAAACCCAGGCAAGTACTTCCTCGCCAGCCAATACCTCACAATGTTATTGTGGACTCTAATTTCCCATGCCAGATTTACTTGCTACACCGCCTTGATGTGGATGCCCTTGAGAGGATTAGGAATGACTCCTCTCTTTCACAAGCAGGTAACTCTTCTGCTCCGAGGCACCTCTGGGTTAGTATGAACTACCAGTGTGTTGGTTCATAGGCAAGCACTTAACAGTTCCTAATGTCGAGGGACTTGTAAGTGTTTATTAATTCATAAGTCTTTTTGTAAGTCCACAATTGTTAATAAGAGTTTAGGAGTGTTAGGATTCCAACCCAAATCTCTCTGGCTCAAGACCAGTGCTTGGAACCAGTTCAAACCATGGCTGATGAAGGAAAACCCAAAAGAACCAGAAATTGCAAAATGTCGGTAGCCAAAACTATAACTGGAACTAGAAAGTATGGATTGAAGCCCTGGAATGGGAGATTTGGAAGAGGTGCAAGAGTCCTTTCAGGATCCTGGTATGAGAGATTGGACTACTGGTCGGACTCTGGAGAACGAGACACATTCTTCGAGCCCTCACTGTTGTTTCCGTCTCTGCCAGTCAAGAGATTTGGTTGCTATGCAATGCACATGCTATCCTTGTTTTCTAGGGGTGGAATTAAGTTTCTAGCGGAGCACTGACCCTCACTTTCCCCCATTATAGTTATCACTCCAGGCACTTACATTTGCAAATTCCAAACAATTCCTGCTTCACTTAGTTGACTGTGATTGAACTTGGAATAATGGGTTTGAAGTCCCACTCAAAACCAGGCTTTTACACACCACAACATCCTGAAAGAGCTATAAGCTGAAGGCTAAGCTATGGGACATCCATCTTCAGACAGGGGAGGGAGAGGAAGGAGAAGCCTATGATGTAGGATGTCCTATAAAAAAACAGGTGAGATTCCTTTAAGACTGGTGCCACCAGACAGTGGATGAGGATTTTCTTAATAATTGGAAAACGAGGCCTTTTGTTGCCATTTATTAAGAATATTGGAAATGTAAGTGATTATGTCTTCATGTTTGATGTGGACTTATCTTATTTGGAATCAAGATTAAAATCCATCCCAAATCACCCAGATTTGTCTATTTTACCTGAAACTGTCCCTGGAGGAGAGAATGGCTTTGAAGAGTGACTTGGCTTGGTTGATCTGTTCACCATGGGAGCTTAAACACAAACATATACATATGATTACAGATCTATCACACTGAAGAAAATTCACCTATGGAAATATGCATTATGAAAATGATGGTAGGAATTTGCAAAGAAACAAAGTTATTAAACACATGGTCATTAAAAGCACACTCCACATAAGAAACATCTTTAGAGTGAATGTATTAGTGATTAAAGGTGTATTCAAATTGTTGTTTTATAGCAGAGAATCTGTTAATGTGAATACTGGCTAGAAATTTCATCTGCCAAACTGGAGGATGGGAGATGTAAAAGTTTTGTTCTGTATCAGGAGAAATGGACTGTCACAAAAGTGGCAGGTGGACAAAGTATTAACTCCCCTCTCCTACCATGTACTTGTACACACGTCTCTTGAATTCCATGTTGTGTGTGTTTTTTGGTAGTGGGGTTGGAGGAGAGGATGGATAACGTGTATTTGGAGGAAAGATCTACTTCCATAAACCACACCATGAAAACAATGTGGATCACAGCAATCCAGTCCACGTTGGTCATGGGGTGGGTACAGAACTGACATGGGCAACCTTTCTTTCTTGCTTCCTTGGCAGTTCATAACAGCATATTTGTTGTTTCTTCAGGATGGGTGGCTTGGGAATTCAGGTGGGGTTTCAAACTGTTGATAATATTATGGGAGTGTAGTGGAGGATTACTACATGTTAGTGGGGTTAAAGCTGAACACTGTTACCTCCAGACTCTTATTTGAAGAGGCAAGAGGCATTGCTTAGACTGGATTATATTCTCCATAGCAGTTAGATCAATCCAGAGTAAACATGTGGCTTTTAAATAGCATTTATTGTCATATAAAACAATATGGGCCTAAGCTAGAACGAAAATTAAAAAACACGACCCAGCGCATATTTCACGCTCATCTTTTGAGTCCTCTGCAGAAATTGCTCCTGGTGCAAAATCTGAAATGCCAATAGGGTGACTTGCAACTTTTTGAGCACTAGGTTCTCCTAGGATCTCATTGTAAGTGAAGGCAGTTGAAGAACCCAAGTTCTTTCACAACTGAGATGGGAGTATTCAATCATGAAAGTAGAAGGAGAATGGAGGCAAAAGGCCATGAAACGGAGAGATGGGTCACTCACCGATGGGCTCTGTGCAATGAACCAAAGGACAAATGCTGTGGTCACAGAGGAGAGAGACCAACCACAGTCAATTCCTGCGTCCCTGAGCGTTTACTACCAAATAGCGCTGGATGCCCTAATCAACTGCTAGCAGTTTTTAGAAGCTCAAAACTAAAAACACTTGCCTTTTTCAAAGGGAGGTGAACTGCTTTCTGTGGGATGAATATAGTTTTCATCTTCATCTTCAACAGGGACCACATAATCAGCCTAAAAGACATGTAGAAATGAATGAGGGAAATGCTGTGCATTCATATTTTACTGTGTGGGAGAGGGTGATTTAAAAATTCTTTACTGACGTAGCGTTCATATACTATTCCCCCACTGCCATCAAATCGATTCTAACTCACAATGAGCCCCCCAGGACAGAGTACAACAGCTCTCTAGGGTTTCAGTGGCCTCATTTTCTCCTGAGAAGCTGCTGATGGGTTTGAAGTTGTTTTTAGCAGTCCAATGCTTATCCTACAGTGCCACCAGGGTTTCTTAAATTCCTCTATTTAAAGTATACAATTTATTAGATTTAAGTATGTTCGCAGAGTGGTGGAACCATCTCCACAATCTAATTTTGAAGACTTTCGTTACCCAACCCCCCTCCCCACAAAGAACCTCTGTTCCCTTAGCTACTTCTCTTTCCAATCCCTCCCTTCTAATCAACACTGAATCTATTATCCCTCCCTTCTAATCAACACTGAATCTATTCTCATCTTCTATATTTGCCCCACCTGGACATTACACATAAATAGAATCATATGTTAGGTAGTCAAGTATGACTTCTCTCATTTGGTAAGATCTTCAAGGATTTTAATGGTTGTATTATATACCAGAACTTCATCTATTTTTGTGGTCAAATAATATCCCATTGTACGGATAGACCACATTTTGTTTAATCCATTCATCCGTCCATGCACATTTGAAATGTTTCCATCTTTTGGGCATTGTGAATAATGCTGATCTGAACCTATGTTTTCATTTCTCCTGGTATATACCTAGGAGTAGAATGCTGGATCATGTGGTAACTCTATGTTTAACAGTCTGAGGAACTGACAACTTGCATTCCCACTAGCAATGCATAAGGGTTTCAATGTCTCTGTATCCTCAAAAATAATTATTATTTTCTGGGTTTAAAAACAATATTACTATAGTTGCTTGGGGAGTGAATGGGAACCTCTACTCGCCTCACCATCTTGCTTGCTCTGCCTTATGCTAAACTTTAAATGATTTTTTGTACATGGTGTGAGATAGGGGTACAACTTCATTGTTTTGCATGTGGCTATCCAGTTGGCCTAGGACAATTTGTTGAAAGAACTATTCTTTCTTCTATTATCTTAGTATCTTTGATGAAAATTAATTAATGTTGGGAGGGACTGAATTTATATCACTAAGAAACAAAGGAAATAACCAGACTTCAAAACTGGTTTTTATAACTTGTCCTGGTGTAACCAAGATGGATATTCTGAGAAAGAAAAAACACATTTATTGAGCACTTGACATGTGCCAGGTGATTTTCTAAGTATGTTGTATGTGTTATCTCACTTAATCCTTATAAAAATTCAACTATCCACCTTATTTCAAGATGAAGAAGTTGAGGCCAGAGCAGTTAATCAGCTTACTCAAGGTCACAGAGCCAGGATTTGAAGACAGATAACACCCATACTCTTATTCACTACCCTCTAGTATCTTTCTTCTTTCCCGGCTCTTTCTGTCTTATTTTTACCTTCTCTTCACTAAATTGGAGTCCTGATGTGGAACTATAGGATAAGCATTGGTCTGCTAACTGCAAGGTCCGGAGTTCAAACCAACCAGGTGCTCCTTAGAAACGCTATACAAGGTCGCTATGCCCTGATGTAAATTGCTGGATCCTCAGAAACCTCCTGGAGCCCTGGTGTGGCACTGTAGATCGCAAGGTCAGTTTGAACCATCAGGTCAGCAGTTCAAACCCATCAGCTGATCCTCAGAAATCCTGTACAGGGTTGCAATGAGTCAGAACTAACTCAATGACTTAACAACAACAGAGCAGTCCAGTGTTTAACCTACAACACCATACCAGAGCTCAATAGCGTGGTTGAATTGAATTGAAATAGCCTAATCCAATATCCAGGGCTGGGAAGAGGTTGACATAGTAGCATTGAATAGTGGGCATGTTGATTGGCTGTGATATTCCTACAGGACCCTTTTGGTCCCATGGTTTCACCTCTCTGGGGTAGATTGTAGCCAGAGTGACATGCTGTCAGAGTCAGGGGTTATTTTCTCCCAGGGGTTAGCGCCTATGAAAGTAGACACTGAGTCTCCCCCGACCCCCACCCTGAAGATGTGCGCACTCTCTCTACCCCTATTATTGTTGTTATGTGCCAGCCATTGAGTCGGTTTCCACTCATAGAGACCGTGTATAGGGTTTCCTAGGCTGTAAATCTTTATGGGAGTAGAAAGTCTCATCTTTCTCCCACAGGGCTTCTGGTGGATTTGAACTGCCAATCTTGTGGTTAGCAGTCCAGTGCTTATCCTTCAGTGACATCTGGGATCCTCTCAAAGCCTATGTTGTTGTTGTTGTTAAGTGCCATCAAGTCAGTTCCAACCCATAACAACCCTGTATAGGGTTTCCAAGGAATAGCTAGTGAGCTTGAACCGGCAACCTTGTGGTTCAAACTGACTTTGCAGTCCAGCACATTAGCTGAAAGCCTATAGTCACTAGCTCAAAGTCTATAGTCAATAAAATTCTCAAGTGTCTTATATCTGGACATAGAACACTGGTATCAAGAAACAATAATAACATTGTAAGGTGTGATGATATCATTTACGTATTATAAATTGGAAGCACCATGTACCACCAAAGTTTCCCTAACCTTACTTTACCACCTCACAATTTCCTTCTTCTGAATTCTCAAATTTGTACTTTTCTCCCCTGCAGTACTAGATTATTAGATTATTTTTCTAAAATGTCTAGAATATGATCGATATATTGTTATTGTTGTCAAGTGCCATTGAATTGCTTTCGACCCATAGCGGCCCTGTATAGGGTTTCCAAGGAGCAGCTGGTGAGCTTGAATCACCAACCTTGCAGTTCAAACAGCTTTGCAGTCTGGTGCATTAACCCATAATGCCACACCAGAATAGAATAATAATATTTCTGGAGTTGAGAAACTTTAAGTCCTGAAGAACAATGATGGAGTCCTGGTGTGTCGCTATAGGATAAAGCACTGGATTACAAGGTCAGTTTGAACTACAAGGTCGGAGGTTCAAATTCACCAGCTACTCCTTGGAAATCCTATACAGGGTTGCTATGGGTCAGAACCAACTTGATGGTACTTAACAACAACAACAACAGCAATAAAGAGCAATGATGGGAAGAACAAAGAAAACCCTGCTTGATCCAATCCAAGCAAATTCTGTTTGTAGTCTTCTCTTCCTCTCTAAACCATTAGATGGTCTAAGGAGCGGGGGTGTATAATGTATATGAAAGGGATTAAAAAAGTACACAGAAAAATGCAATTAAAATATAGTGGAATTTTTCAACAAACTTTTTGAAGATCCTCTCATATTTCTAGCATTGCAATTCAATGTTTTAGAATAGATGCTATCTTCCAAAATAAACAATTTGTAACTAACAAGACCACCTTCGTGCTGGTGAAATATTTTAATATAAACTCCGTTATTCCATGTTTGCATCACAAAACGTTGGCAGTAGTGACATTAGTGATAGATCTTTTGAAGCCAATCTGCCCATCTTATCCTCCGTCTGCTGGTCAGCTTCTCCCTGCCATCTCTCAAACCAAGGATTGACAAGCCACACTCTCACCCTCTAAGTCTGATGCCTTTCCTACTCAGTGTGTCCTGGGAGAAGGGGCCATAAACTACAGTGCTTACAGGAGGGGACCACTGGTGTGAGTGGTGAGGAAACAAAAGAAAAAAAATCCAAAACACAAAAAAGCAAACCAACTGTCATTAACTCAATTCCAACTCATGGCAGATTTATAGGACAGAGTAGAACTGCCCCATGGGGTTTCTAAGGCTGTAAATCTTCCTTCAGAGCAACTGGTGGGCTAGAACTGCTGACCTTGTGGTTTGCTGCTGTGTATTTAATCACTGCACCACCAAGCGTCCTATAGCAAATAGGAAAAGGGATCAGGAATTCACATTCAACTGGAGGGTTGTCATAAGGCTTATGACTGGCCCAGTCTTGTCAAGTATTCAGTTTCCAAGAGAAACTAGAAATCAGGATTCCTAAAAAATAATATAAAATATACTAGAATGAAATTCGGTATACATTAAGATCCTTTAGACATGTTGTGAGGAAGGACCAGTTCCATCATGTTTGGTAAAGTGGAGGGTCAACAAAAAAGAGGAAGACCCCAGTGAGATTGACGGATACAGTGGCACCAATAGGATCAAACATTTAACATGAGTTGTATGGATGACGCAGGACCAGGCAGTGTTTCATTCTGTTGTGTGTGCACAGGGTCGTTATGAGTCAAAACTGACTTGATATCACCTAACAACAACATGTATCAGGCACTGTATTGACGGGCACTGAATTGATTGCTGTATATACGTTCTCTTATTTAATCCTCTGGAGGGGGTCTTGGGACAGATTTAATTTACCTCATCTTCAAGGAGTTCTCTGGGCTTGGGTGGGACTTGAGGTTTCTGAAGAGAAGTGGGAATCGGCAGAGTGGAGGTGAGTCTTGTTTTCGACGAAGTCCAGCTGGGCTTACTGGGAAGTGTCTTGCTGACAGGTGGAGACAGCCTCTGGCTTGAACGATTGTCTTGAAAGGAAAGAAACATAAGACAAATGATAATTTCCTGGGTAGAGGCCATCTGAGATCTAGAAAACATAAACGACCAGTATCTCGGTAGTCAAAAATTATTAGTAGTAAATTATAGTAAAGCAAAACGCTAGCCAGACATCTCAATTATCTTACATTATAAAAATAATGTGACCCTCAAAAGCTCCTCCCAAGGGAGTGAGGAGCCTTATGGATGGAGGGAAGCTGACGGTCCAGCATTCTAACAACCTGAACAGACAGATGTTAAGCATCTGTATGCCTGAGAGTTTAAGAGCCTGTCTGATGTAAGGTTTGCATTTTGCTGCTAACCTAAAGGTAGATGGTTTGAACCCACCCAGCAGAAACATAGAAGAAAACCCTGGCAAAGTGCTTCTGTAAAGATTTCAGACAAGACAACCCTATGGAGTTCATTTCTACTCTTCTAACACATGGGGTTACCCATGTATTGGGGGCCTACTCCAATAACAAGTCTGAAGGGGTCTCCTTGGTTCACTTTGCCTTATGACCCTTAGGGACAGTGAGTCTCCATCGTGTTTTTGTACATTAGAACCACTGGGAAGTTTTTTTTAAATGTTGAGATCTGAGCCTCACCCCAAACCCATTAAGTGTGAATTTCAGGAGGGGATTAACATTATAGATGTAAAATGTTCCCCAGGTTCTTCTACGGTGCATCCAGAGTTGAGACTACTGATCTTGGTCTATGTGCATGCTACTTTTCTCAGTGATTTCCCTCCAACCACGGGGAATCCGGAGCTCTACCCTGGTCCAGGATGGTTTTTTACAGGTACCAGTGAAGGAGCTCCAGCTTTGAAGGCAGGCCGATCTGAGTTCAATCTCCCGCTCTGCCACTCCCTGTTAATTTAGGCCACTTTTTCAACCTCTCTGGAACTTACATTTCTCATTTTCAAGCAAGGTTGATAATATCCATTTTAGAGAATTATTGTGGGGGTTAGAAAGAAAGCCATATGTGCAGGGTGTCTAACAAAGAGTTAATGCCTAATCAGTGGAACTAATGGTGGTGCAATGGTTAAAACGTTTGCCTGCTAGACCAAAGATAAGCTCTGGACAAATGTCAGCAACACCATGATCACCGTGGACATGCTTGCTCTCCTGCATTTGCGGAACGTCAGAAGACTGGAGCACAGGTTTCCTGAGGCTGGACCTGGCTGTGGCCATTTAACCAGTGAGGCTCACTGGAGGCTTAGGGTCCTCTCCCTACCCTCTGCCTCATCCATTTAAAACTTCAGTCTAAAAGCCTGTCTGGTGGTATGAGATGGAGGAGAGGCATTAGCCGACCCTGGGAACTCTGAAGGTCATTGCTGGTCTGTACAAACATCTTAAGGGAAATTCTAGGCATCTTGTGCACAGCACGCTCTAAAAGAAGTGGGGCTAATGTCAAGGTCGGTTTCCCATGGGATTATAGGGGGTCAGGAGAAGCAATCATCAAAATTGCCTGTTTTCAAGAATCCAGATTTAGGAAGGAGATTGTTCCTGTCAGACTGAAAAGTTTTGTACCTTGAACTTTATTAGCCATAGGTGGTTAACTGATCTTCTGTTTGGAGGTTGTAAGAGTCAGAGAGGACTGGGCAGAGGGTCTTCAGGTAGCCCACCTGCAGCCTGGGCCTGCTCTCACCCTCCCCATGGAGTGCCAGGGTCCTGTGGGGCAGCCTCACCTATATACTCGCCCCTGGTGAAGGGCAGGGCTGGATGAATTGTCCTCATCTCCTGCTCGGCTGGAGGGGGCTCATAACTGTCATCTCCGTTCTCCTCAGCGGGCATCACGTACATCTCCGAGTCTGAGTGTTCATCTGGATTTTCATAATCGTTATCCTGGGGATGCAGACAACATCAGTGTTCCTCGTGTGTGTGCCCAGTCCAGGGAAATTCCTACCAGAGGAGGCAGGCTGCTCCTCTATTGTATGGGTGAGGAGACCAAGGCCGGGAGAGGCTGGAAGACCCAAGGCTAGGCAGATCTTAAGAAGCATAGCTGGGAGTTGAAGCCAGGCCTTTCTGACTCCAAAGTTCATGACCTTGACTGCTATGCTGCCCTAGGGGAAATGCTAGGGACTATTGATTCTTATAAGGGCTGACTGAAACACTGTATGTCAACAAAGAACAGTAGAAGACAGTCATATGCTATTAAAAAACAAACAAACTGGGAAAGGGGCTCAATAAAATAGAATTACTAAAAGATTTTACTTATTGTGAAAAGTAGGTGTCGTAGCAGGAAGGTAAAGGGATGTATAGGAGTCCCCAGAAGACTTTGAGGAGATGATAATTTGAAGACAGCCTAGCTGGTAAGCCACACTGGGCTTTCAATGGACTCAAAGTCCATTCTCTTTCTGATTTATTGTTGTTGTTTCTAATACAAATTTTATTTAAGTCCATATTAAAAATCTATTGACACGATCCAAAATTGAAACCATTTGAAGAACATAAGGTGAAACTCCTTAGCTCCTCTCTCCAGAGGCAATGTTACTAGTTTTCTGTGTGTTTTTTCAGAGATAATCTATCTATCTATCTATCTATCTATCTATCTATCTATCTATCTAT